CAGGATGGTTTATAGTCAGAAAGAGTCTAACATGGGAATGTGCGGAAAGAGGTTTCGCCTCACTCAAGGTGGGAGAATTGATTGGATGATTTTCTCTCTTTTTATAGCATAAACCGGTAAACGAGCAGACAGATCATCTGATGGAAAGCAATCGGTGCCGCCCATGGACACCCGAAACACAAAGGCGTTACAAGTGAGTTACAGGCCTTTTGGGAATTGGAAATTTGAGGATTGTAGAGGATACGGAGATTTGGGAGACTAGGGAGGGGGTTAATTGGGTCTCCGGTAACCTCACTTACACGACGAAACACAGTGTTTCACGTCGGCAAATGTTGTTTCACGTCGGTTTTCTCAAGAAAAAAAGAACAAAAACGGTACATATAATAGTTGTTCGTTGCCACTAAAAACGAAATTAATAAGTATTTTCACTCGGACATTACTTCGGATACAGCAGATAGATAAAATTCTCAAACAGCTTCTTACAGTCGATAGTCCTCCAAACAATGTATTCCTCTGTCACAATAAAAACAAAATAAGAGTAAAACAAATTGTAATAGACTATTTGACGAGTAGTTGATCGATGTTCAAAAACAACAAGAAATTGTTTGTTCAAGTAAAGTAATCACTTGAACAACAAGTTGCTTGTTATTTTTTTCCCTTTTGCACTCTGGTCGGGTTTATAAATAGTCGACAAATAGTTGGAAACCTTCAACTTTGTATACCTACACATAAACTTAAACGTTCGAGTATAATATTGTGGTGTCTGTGTTTGACAAGCTGTCGTCTTCATGTGCATTTTGATTTTGAGATATAGATTTTAGTAATCGTGACTTACATATTTATGTAGTTTTTTGTTATAGCGTAATTTGTAGTGTATCAAGTAACTTAATGTAAACTTACCTTAATGTCAGTTCTTGAGAATAATCAGAGAAAGTGTACCTTAGCTTGAGCTTTACATTTCATGCTGTTTTGGTTTATGTTTTTTTTATTTTAAATTTTCGTTTGATAAGATTTGCAATTTGGAAAAATCTTTTTATTTTTGAGTAATACTCAATCTTTATTATCTTTTTTTGTATTAATGTAAACTAAAAAAACTATATGAATGTTGTGGTTATCTATAATTGTAAATACATATAGTTTTAAGGTATTTTTAACTCAAATTATTTTCATACTGCAATATTCTTGTGTTTATGTCGGTAACCCTCTAAATAAATAAATGTTAATACCTATCATTGCAATCTTAGGACCGTTCTTGAAATAACAACAGTCAATCAATATAAGAGTAGTACAAACATTGGATCACTGCAAACAGTCAGACTAGTGGTTTAAATTATGGCTTATGTCATTATTATATCATTACGAATTTATTTATTTATTTATTTATTCATTTATGTACACACATTCAACACAGAGGACAATACATATATAAAACAGAGTACATACAGAGTACATTTAATGTGACAGTAAAGAGATACTTATAGAGAGTAGGTAATTGTATAACTGAAGTTTAATTTAATTATAATGTACATTATTTTCACAATAACAAGCACAACTGCTTCGCTGAAGGAGAAAACGATTTCCCAGTTCCCCTCGCCCCTCACTATAGCAATAACCATGCGACCATTCAACCGATCTGGATGTCATATTTATATATTTCAATAATTTATTATATTTATTGAGTAAACATAAATTAATATTGGTTTTACTACTTAACAATGAAATTACTTTACAATTAACAACTTCATCGTAACAAGGTAAATTAATCATACTGGTTGTCAACTTAGCGACCTCTACGACTCATGCGTTCATTAAAGTTGTGTGAGTCAGTGAACAATTTGCAGAAAGACAATAGAGTGCGTCACTATTCAGGGGCACATTATTTATTAACCCTTAAATAGATAAAAATAACATAACATAACATCACGCCTTTTATCCATGAAGGGGTAGGTTACACTGTACAATGTAACACCCACTTTTCACTCTTTATGTTATGAGTCCCATGTAATAGGGAGTGAGCCTATTGCCATATACCAGGCACAATTCCAGACTCCGTGCTACTACTGAGAATATTTAGAAACTCAGTAATACTTTGCCCGACCCGGGAATCGAACCCGAGACCCCTTGCCTGGCAGTCGCACTTACGACCGAATGTGGAGCCAACAAGAAAGTAGAAAATTCATAGTTTAGTGACAAAGTCTAATATCTATATTAATATAATACAGCTGGAAGGTTAGTTCGTTTAAACGAGTTAATCAGGAACGGATGGTCTGAATCGAAAAGTAATTTTAGTGTTGGATTGTCCATTTAGGGAGGAAAGCTTTGAGATTTTAAACATACTATGATCAATAGGAACTCAATAGCGGGTGAAAACGCGTAGGAATACCTAGTTTCTATTTTTATCTATGACTGCCTCGTCGGCCGAGTGGTCGCAAGCGCGACTGCCAGGCAAGGGGTTTCGGGTTCGATTCCCAGGTCGGGCAAAGAATTAATAGGTTTTTTAAAAATTCGGTGTCTAGAAATGTGCCCGGTATATGGCAATAGGCTTAACCCCTTATTACATGGGACTCATAATATAAATAGTGAAAAGTAGGTGTTAGGTACATTGTACAGTGGTATAATGTGCACCTCTGCCTACCCCTTAGGGGATAAATGGCGTGATGTTAAGTAAATAATACCACATTATTTAGTCCAAGCTTGTTTGTAAACTTGTATATGTTTTTTGAGGTATCGCATGAACATATGTTTTTTCATCATAAAAAGTTATAGCTATTATTATAGAACATGGAACTAGTTAGATAATTTCTTATTGTTGATAGCTTGTTGCGATGCTGGTTATATCGCATCACCCAATTAATCAATTTTCGACCTTATTTCTTTTGTATATAGTGGACAATGGATTAAGTCAATATGTATTTTGGGGTATTTTGATGTGCGTGTATACTATAAAGACTAATCTTGATCGTCGTCAAATCCATTCGACAGACATCAGTTTTTTCTTTGTCGGTGCAAAAAACATACGTATGCGTTAATGATTGACGGGTATACTAACTCTTATTGCTTTTTTCAATTCATTGACGTAAGCTGGGTTTTGTGACGCAAAGGTTTTAATGATCCTAACTATATATTGGATCATTAAGATTTGTTTATTTATTGCTTACATAAATATATTGTTTATCTACATCTACACTTCGACAGTAATAATAAAGAGGAAAGATTTGTTTTTTTGTTTGTTTGTTTGAATGGAACATACGCCGAATCTACCGGACCGATTTGAAAAATTATTTTACCGTTGCAATCCTACATTATCGATGATTAACATAAGCTATATTAAATAAGAGAGAAAAAAGGGAACCATGTGAACATTTCGAAAATGTAAATATGTGTGAAAATATTACCAAAAACACCTTATTTTGCTTAATAAGCCTTTGACTGCCAATAGTAAACTGTTTTCAAGGACTAATAATAGTAGGTATTTAGCTGCATCAGAATTAGAGATTTTAAAGAAAAAATACGAATTCAATCAACTGAATACATTTTATTCATGGACTAGCTTCTGCCCACTGTTTCGCTCGCGGTACGCGGTATTTTAAAGTATTGAGGGCAGGTTTACAAAAGATAAAAAATAATTGGTGACCGATGTTTTGCTGGTCACAAATATGATACTAATTTTAGGTTTCTTAAAAATTACAAAATGCACCATACAAACTTCCAGCCCCTGTTTTAGGGAAGTGGTCTATTTGAGTGTAATTCCGTACAATGATAGTTTGAGACTCGGAAAATGACGCCTTATAGTTTTCAACCGCTGTACCTATTTGATTGGAATTCCAATGCAGTTTTAATCACTGAAACCTCACGGATTAGTATCCGTAGACTATATGGAAATCGCGAAAATGAACAAAATTTCACAATACATACAACTAAATTAATTCTGATGAGATTTATAAAACAGCATCGCAATTAACCTTGAAAAAGACTAATTAAAAAAATTCAAAATTTGCCCGAAGTCATTATTATACGCGAACGAAGTCGCGGGAAACAGCCAGATGTGACATAAAAGGGTAATAGAAACAATAGTTTTGTTACTCATAGCAAGAATTTCATATACAACAACAAAGATTAATTAATGTATGTATGTGTTGCTTATGGCAAAAATCCAGACTCTTTATTATTTAAGAGCTTCGAAATCAAAAACCCCGAATTGTAAAATAATACTAAACAGGGGTTTTACCTGCGTGACTTATTAAAGACACATTAAATTATATTGATAAAGATAGAATCCATTTTATATAAATTAGAACTTGTTTTACACGTCTTGGTTGTTAGGCTAAAATTAGATTCGTAATTATTATGATCTCAAAATCCCCATTGGTTTACGTCGGTATTTTTTATTTTGTAGTTATAAATAGACGCTTTATTATTGAGGGAAATACAACAGAGTTGAGTATTAAACTCAGTATCATTTTGTTTTATTTGATGTCTCAATATTTTGAAGGCCATTTTTTATTACGTTATTATGAGTTGACAGTAATTCACAGAAATTGAAGAAAAATGTAAACATTGTTGTGTAAGCATTGAGTCACCATTTTGGTTTTAAGAATATTTATTAATATTGTTTTTGTTGAAACTATGAATAAGTAAAATGTTTTCTTTAAATTTTAGGTACCAATTGTTCACTAAATTTTAATTACGTTTATGTCAAAACGGGGAGACTATAGACAAAGTTTTATATTTAGTGATAGGTACACCTACACTGTTACGGCTCAATCCCATAAGATTCTGTTTTCCTGTTACAATAAATAAAATTAGCAGCAGCAGTAGTGTAAGAATTTGTAGGAAATTGAAAATCCAATAATACTTTATTTCATTTAAATAAATTCACGTCTCTGTGCCATGAGAAAAGCTAAATAAAGCCACAGAATAACATATAGTACGAAAGGATCGTATTATCTACATATATGGTATTCTGTACATTCTAATTTCTTTAGTTATGATAACGTCCATGGACCGTATACATATCATTTATACAAAATTCTATTTAAACACTATAATTGGTTCTGATGTTTATTAAACTACAATACTTAAAACAATCGACTTAATTTTCTTTTTTGAATTTAGATTCCTATTTTAAATTGACCTCTCAGTCTTCAGCAGCGAGGAAGGTTTCGTAGTTCTCTTTGTATTGGTCTTCAGGGTCGTACTTGGCGAGGATCTGCTTCCAGTACTCCTGTTCCTTGGCTCTGATGTGTCTGACGACCTTCCTGGCACCCTTCTTCTGTTTGTCAGTACATTTGGAGCAGGAGGTCTGCATAGCGTCCTTGATATGAGCTGGAATCAATGTGAATGGTATTTTATTATTTTATTCGAAGCGTCTTTTTTTTCTTTTTTAAAATATAAGACCAATATTACGCCTGTCCTTTTGTAATGTAGGTAAAACAGAAAATCTCATTGATGGTTTTCGCAGTACTTTTGATTACTTGGGTATCAAACCCTAGATTTGATTGGCTGAATACTTGAGAGCACCATAACATAACATCATAACATCACGTCTTTTATCCTCGAAGGGGTAGGCAAAGGTGCACATTACGGCACTTAATGCCACTGTACAATGTACTCACTTTTCACTTTTTAATGTTATAAGTCCCATGTAATAGGGGGTGAGCCTATTGCCATCTACCAAATTCCAGACTCCGTGCTACTACAGAGAATTTTTTGAAAACCCCAGTAATACTTTGCCCGACCCAGGAATCGAACCCGAGACCTCTTGCCCAGCAGTTGCACTTGCGACCACTCGGTCAACGAGGCAGAGCACTAGCACAGCACACACAGCATATAAGGCAAATTAACATTTTTGAAAGGAAACATAATTATTTTTGTATATGGACTTTTAATCTTAATGTATGCAGGCCAAACTTATATATCTATAATGCAAATAAGATGGTTATTGCTTTTTTGGAAATACCTTTTCGAAGATATTTTTGGAAGGTCTGCGTAAATTTTCCAAAATAATTTTTAATGATTAGGTATCGGATATGCCAGATTCTCCATCTATTTTGACACGATTTAGATTGATATCGTAATGAAATAACATAGGTTTGAAATCGTGTTTTTCCCATACATACGGAGATTTAAACGTTTGATATGCATGATTAAAATGTTAACGTCATCCCGTGACCTGCGTCAGCCAATCTGGTCCTAATTGCCGATCACCATATTATCACACTATTTTAAAACAACTATATATTGTTGTTTTCTAAGAAACAAACGTACATATTACAGTGCAATTGGCAATTCTAAATAAATACAATAACTTAGTAAATTAAGGTAAGGAGAAGAAAAATTGGTTGATACCACGATGAATTTTGGACGGTAAGTCAAACAACCCCATTTCATCATATAATCTTTTATCGTTTTTATGATTAATATCTGTCATATGTTCAAAAAGGTAAGATGTTATTTAGGAACCATAACAAAACGATATTTCCTATCATGTCATTTTTTTCAGAATATATATAGCCACTACTGACATAATATATCAAAGACACAAATACAGCACCATTCGACTAAAGGTACCTACATGCGTTAGTGTGTATGTCCTAAGTCATCACAGTAACAACTTTAAGAATAACCTTTGCAATCACGGTCAGCATTATAGCCAACCAGATTGTATGAGGCAATATTCAAAGTAGTTCTAGATAGACATTGATAGCTTCTGATACTAAGAACTCATTGCAATCAGGCGGCGCAACACCTAGATCTAAGAAATAATAATAATAATATCTAGATTAATCAATTTCATTGTATGTTAAACAACTTAGTATTTTTCCGTTTTCTTTATATATATCTATAGAAGATTGCTAATTGCTAATTGCCACGCTCACGGAAGGTTTATGTTGTTGAATTGTTTTGCTCTTTGAACCCGTAAAAATATAGTTTTGAGTCGTCAATAGGTATTGCTAAGTGTTAATGGTTTTTCTTATTGAGTTTTTTAAATAGTAATAGTACAAGTTGAAGTAAATCAACCTTCGAACATGATCTTCCAGAATGCCGAATGTCTAACCTATGAATTGACATATTCTATTGAATTTGTTATCCAAGACACCATGAAATGGATGAAAATTATTGGGGAGGTAGTTTAGAACGAAGAGACGGATATAGGATAATTTTATACAATGCTTTACTATTACTGTTTACCGATAATCACGAACGAAAACGACTAACGGCAAGCAAAAGCTAGTAATATATAGAAGGAAAGTAGAGGAACTTGATTAACTCGTCGAGTACGGGTTTTATAGACACAATTAAACTGTCAAACTCCAAGCGGTCACCGGTGACCGCGACCTATTGTTCTTTAATTGTGTCTATAAAACCGGTACTCGACGAGTTAAAGAACAATAGGTCGCGGTCACCGGTGACCGCTTGGTGTTTGACAGTTTAACCACTTTTTGAGGTTATAAGTAAACCTATTTCTCACCTTTCAGTTCCCTGCCTTCTGGAGTACATCTTCCTTGGTCCAGGGTACACTTGATGTAAGGCACCAGCAGTTTCCTGTTCTCGATGATCTCGTCGATGTTGATGTGATCGTATCTGTCCGTATAAGTTTCAGCAGCTACGAAGGCCGCCATGGTAACCACAATCGACAACACGAGGAAATTCATACTGAAATTTTCGAAAATTTCCAAAATTCAACAATTGTCACCACTTACTGATGGCTTCACGTAAAATAATGATCATAATTTCATACATTTTTGCATTTTTATAACTATTTTCATCGTTACGTCATATTTTTATGACGACCTTTTGCCTTTGTCATAAGTAATAGGTTCCAAAATGATTTATGTTCTGCATAATTATATATTATACAATTTTTCATATAAATTTTTTATTTACTACACTCATTTATGATTTCCCTTTTAATGACATTATTGTCAAAAAATACTACGAATCATTAAAATGTTTTTTGGTTTTCCAAAACAATGTTTAAATGAATATTTTGGAGGCTTCTAGAAATTAAAAATTATAGAATGAATAGGTAGTTACAAATTTTCACAGAATGAAATAAAAAAGTATGTCAATACCAAAATTTTAAGTAGTCTTTTATTACGGAAAATAAGAAAGTAATTGTATAAGCCTTTTTATAATAAAAAAAAAAAGATTTTTAAGTACCTGTAAGTAAGTTTAAAAATCCGATCACTAGACAATAGGATCCTGTCCAAGAGTATTGCGGGACACTGAAGATCAGAAGAAAAACGTTTTCATTTATAGGAATAGCTTGATAGCATCGATTAGTTGCGGAAAAACGTTGTCCATTGTCGTGTTAATTATGTAAAATACTTAACCTGCAACCCTTTAGCAATTAATGTCTATTATTGATTACATTCAAGGTTGAAGTATCGAGAAAAAATTATGAGTCAGTGTGTCATGTTGCTACATACTGTAAATGTATAATAATACTGTCTATTTTCCCCTGGGTGTTGTAAATTATTGCGTCGCTTTTTGATAAACCTGAACCTATATATCTACATTCTGAAATTTTAATAATATTTGGACAATTCACTCCTGCTAATATAACTGTTGCAAGTTTTTATATAATTTTCTGTAAATGTATAATAATACTGTCAATTTTCCCCTGGGTGTTGTAAATTATTGCGTCGCTTTTTGATAAACCTGAATCTTTTTATGTACATTCTGAAATTTGATTAATATTTGGTCAATACACTCATGCTAATATAACTGTTACAAGTTTTTATATCGAAAATCGTGTTATATTATTTAAAACTCAAGAATGGTTTAATCGATTCGGCTGAGAGTTGGTGAGCGGGTACTTTTATTAAAGATTTTCCCAATTGTCCTACAGGAATGGACAAAAACGGGCGCGTACGTAGTCGCGGGTAGGAGCCAGTTTTTCATATACCACACATTATATTATTCACAAAATTATTGTTACTACAATGTTTTGTCATCTTTTGACGTTTTCTTCTACGAATTGTAAACATAACAAAAAATAAGTAAATACTAATTTATGATTCTATGGTATAAACACAGTTACACATCGAGTTATCTAAAACCAGTATAAACGGACCGTTGAATTTATTGAAAGATCATTGAAAGAGAGATCATGATAAACTGATTTTGTATAGTTTTATGAGTATCCATAGAAATAACAAGACCATTAATATTTATTGTTATAGTTACAAGTAACTATGATTTGAGTAATGGTCGTACGTCGTATTATATGTATCAGGAAACTATGGGGCTATAAAGTTATTGTTTAGCAATTTTATGATTTATACCGTTAGGTATAGGTACCTTTGTAAAACTTATATAGGCCGTCATAAGACGTAATTGCTTAGAGTTAAGATTAAGTACTCGCTTATTTATTAATATCGTCGTTAAAAGAGACATATGTACATATAGTAATTATATAAATGACAGTTACGTATAGTATTGCATATTTACTTTATCAATGTGAATTCATATCCTGGAGATGCCTTTTTTATGTTTTTTATTTTTAAATATTTAGTGAAATTTTACAAATAAACTCGCCAAACTTTTACTTCCGATGGCACGACAAGTGACGTTTGATGACGTATGGATTATAGACTTGATTATTTATTTTAGTACACTATAAAATTTCACAAGTTTTTCAAAAGATTGTGTCTTCTTCTGTCTACTTTTTTTGTATAAATATGTTTTATTTAACTCTCATTCTCTTTTATCTAACTTCAAAACTTTTTTTACAGTTTTCTTCAATTTTCTTTTTCACTATATATCTTATATATATATCTTATCTTTAGTCACTCTATCTTAATTTTGTACATAAGTTAAATCCATTCTATGCCTGTTGCTTTATAAAATCAAGCATCTAACGTAGAATGCATTACAGTTACATAGACATCAGGCGTTTATAACATTTTCTTATCGTCAATATGAATTATTTGCAGTATTTAATTTTTATACTGTTAAAACACACTACATTCTAGTAGTTTCATTATAAAATTTCAATTTGGAACGATAATTGAATATGTAGGAATGAATATGACAGAGTTTCGCCCCTGACAAATATGTGTTGGCAATGGACTACAACGCGTTGATGTCTTCTGTTCGGCAAAGTGAACTTTGCTAGTATTTATGTGTGGTTTTGGTAGATGTAAAATTGTACGATTGTAAGAAACTATGAACGTTGATAGGTAAATGAAAGCAATTATTAGTTAAAGTAAAACAATATAGTTACCAAAGTCGTTAAAAATTGTGTGAATTTTAGATGGGGTACGAACTTTCATCGTTTATTGTATTGTTTTGAAAAATATGTGGTTACGGTGCTGATATTTTTCATATTGTTTTGTTCATTTGTAAATAGATGGCGTTACATATTTATTGGTGTGTGAGTATATTATAATTATACATACTATACTCACGAATATGGTAGGTACTTGACTTTGCACCCGATGGCATTTGACGAAATATATAGTTAATAATTTATGAACCTATTGCACCTATGAAAATATGGGTTTGTTAAATCGCAGCATTTATTTATGTATAAGAATATTTTTTATTAAAATTAGTTGTTTTTCCATTTTATCTTTCCGTTCAAACGTAACATTGCATTAATTTATTTTAAACTGCTGTTTAATACCAACGCATAATGTAGTATTTAACCGAGTTCAAAAAAATATTAAAAAAAATAAAAGCGACTTTAAATGTATACAACTAACTTACCTACGCAAGTTTAGAACTAATATAAAAGAACTAAGAGGTATAAAATAAATACAATAACTTCTGCCTTAAATAAACTATCTTTGATATACCAACTAGGTATTTATTGAAGTCGGTCCAAAAACAAAAAAATAGCTAATTAATTAACAAAAAGTGTAAAACATCATTAAAGAGATCTATAACAAAGTTAAATTACCTATGAACTAGATATCAATCAGTTTACTACGTAGACCCATGAAGGGCTTATAGTTTCAACTGAAATTTTAATCCTAAAACATAACATAACATCACGCTTTTTATCCCCGAAGGGGTAGGCACAGGTACACATTATGCCACTGTACAATGTAACACCTACTTTTCACTATTTATGTTATGAGTCCCATGTAATAGGGGGTGAGTCTATTGACATATACCGGGCCCAATTCCAGAATCCGTGCTACTAATGAGAATTTTTTAAAAACCCAATTATACTTTGCCCGGCATTCGCACTTGCGACCACTCGGCCAACGAAAACTTTTAATCCTAAAAATACTAACAAATCCTGTAATAACAAACCAATAAAATGAAGGCAACTTAGTCTTTTCTATAGGATAGGCCGGGAAACGAGCAGACGCATCATCTAAGGGTAAAGAATCGGCGCCTATGTGTACCCACAGAACCAGAGGAGTCCCAATTGCGTCGCCAACATTTTGAAGTAAATTGGATCTCCAGTAACTCACCCGGCGTCATAAATGCAAACGTTGTTTTTCCGATTTTCTATCAGGCTTTGGTATAATTGTGGTCCATCGGGTCCAATCGGTTAGAAAGACTAATAAATCTTCTTAAAAATATTTTTGTAATTATTGTGTGTAATTAAGAAACGGTCTAAAGTTCACTAGGTGATTTTGATAATAACATTAAATAAGATTTGTTCTCTTTGAACCATCTTTAAATTGTGAGGAATTGTTTGATTATAGATAGAATTTGTTTGTCATTATCATCATAAAGTTAGTATATTTGTTTGAAGGACAATTCTGAAAGTATGTCCAACCAAAGCTGGTATGCGGATTCATTGCCTAGTTACTAGTTTTTTGAATTGGAACACTAAATATGGTTATTAGTGACAACCTTATATGATGAACTAGTGTATAATACATATTTTTTTAATAATGAGTACTTCGTATCAGGTAGTTTTACTTTATATTTATAATGCAAATTTTCGTTTGTTCAGTATTAATTGTGTCCATTGCGTTCTTTTTCGGTGAGAGGTAAAAAGGTATCAAGACTTCGCAGCACTTTTATAAGAATAAAAACAAATTAATATTTTCTTTGGTTTATTAAAATATAAATACTATCAAATTTAACAATATAAAAAATATATACATGTCATGGTCACGCTACATTTCTTTAAGAAAAAAACTGAACAAAATATTTTGAGTAACAGTAAAAAAGTACTGAGTAAAAAATTGAGCATTTGGAGGTGTTTCAAGCAGATGGCGTAGAAGCATTATAGTACTTGATTAAAATAAGTAACACTTAAAGTCACAGGCATAAAGGTCAAAGAACAATGCGATGGTAAAGAAATGCTTGAACTATATCTGTTTGAAAATCACCCGTAAGTTATTTTTGATAAGGTATAATTTATTCGGGGATGATGATGCCGTTAGCCTTGGCGCGGTCTTCGTATGTCTTCCTCCACTTGCCAGAGGAGTCGTACTTGTCGGTCAGCTCATGCCAGGTGTCCAGCTCGTTCTGGATTAGATGTTCGATGACCTTGTATGCTCCCTTTTCTTGAGCTTCAGTACATTTCGAGCAGCCAGTCTCAATGGCGTCTACCAGATGTTCTGAAATAGAGATAGAGTATGTGTTAAAATAGTTTTAGACTGCCTCGTTGGACGAGTGGTCGTAAGTGCGACTGCCGGGCAAGGGGTCTCGGGTTAGATTCCCGGGTCGGGCAAAGTATTACTGGGTTTTTAAATATTCTCAGTAGTCACGGAGTCTGGAATTATGCCCGGTATATGGCAATAGGCTCACCCCCTATTACACGGGACTCATAACATAAATAGTGAAAAGTGGGTGTACAGTGTATAATGTGCACCTCTGCCTACCCCTTCGGGGCTTAAAGGCGTGATGTTATGTTATGTTATGTTTAAAATAGTTTTTTTTAGTTTATTTGCTTATTTGGTCTTCTTTTGAATTGATTTGATAGTATATTTGGATGGACTTTTCACCATAAATTGATCAGAAAAAGTTTTGCAATACGTTGCTATTATATTAAGAAATCGGCGTTGATTAAGATTCATAGTTCAGATCTTTCTCATTTACCCGGACATTATTTTTATAGCAATCAAACAATACACAGTTAGTGTTTATATTTTCCTCATTACATAAGTAACGGAAAAAGATCACTCAATAAACGTGATTCAACTACGAAATACAATATTGTCATCACATCTTCTTATATGAGCTACTTTATGTTGACAATGTTTCATTTAGGTAGGTACTCTAAAAACTATTGTAGTCCTTTTTGTGTTTACTTAAGGTTCAAAATAAGATTACAATTTGGGAGTGTCTTGTAGTTTTACTGAAGAGTTCGAAATCCCTCGGTTTTCAAAAAAATCATTTTTTATCTATATGATTATTAACAAAAAGGATCTTTCTGTTTGGAATAAAGAAAGTTAAGTTTTCGACATCAAAACGGTCATCCACTCGTGTATATTCTATTTGTTCAGATATATGCCTATATGCCAGGTCTATTCCATAGTATTATGTGACAGCCATTACATAACTCAAACAATAAGTATACAATACACTACTGCCTACTGTGAGGTTAAGATAAATACTCTATTTAATATAATTACACCGACGAGGTGGGAGGTTAATTACATTTGCCATTGAACAATAATATTACACGTGCGTAGTAAATAATATTCTTATGTGAGTTCGGCCATTGTTTTGTTTTAAATGTAGTGGTCAATTTAATTTCAATTTTCCAGTGGTCGTATGTACGACGTCTAACAAAGAGTCTTATGACCGTTTTCAACAATTACCCGTTAAACTGTATTTTAACTAAGAGTTACTTACTTAGCGTGATAGCACCTAAAGTTACCCCTTCCTTGCACTATTAGGTGTCACTTTTTTGACAAAAAAGTGAAAAATTATATAAGTTCGAAGGAGGCTGTGTAAACCTTTAAGAACTTCGTTTGTATACTCTATTTTAAAACTAGGTCTATTTATTTTCAATCTTACAATTAATTATGAAATAAACATTGTAGGCTTTGCTTTTAACCTTGCCCCACATAGTTAGATCTGTAAGCGTGACGTTTTCAGAACAAACCTTAATTAATTTATATTGAGGTAACGCAATATTTACTCATTGTTTTATGAAGGCAAGTGATTAGTAAGATGTATGAAATACTGCCTAATTATTATCTCCTAATTACAAAACAGTTCATGGATTTCCAAAAGTATTTCTTTACTAGCTTCTGCCCGCGTTTTCGCCCACATTCCCGTGGGATAAAAAGTAGCCTGTGTTATTCCAAATACTAATCTATCCCTGTTTTAAATTTCAACCCCATCTCTTCATCCGTTTTGGCATGATTGTGTTACAAACAAATACACAAACACACAAATTTTCAAATTTATAATTATAGTATGATATTTGACATTTGTACTTAGACACTGTTTCGTCGAGTGGTCGTTAGTGCGACCAAGGAGTTTTAGATTCGATTCTCGGGTCGGTAAAGGTATTATTAAAATTGTGACATTTGTGACTGCCTCGTTGGCCGTGTGGTCGCAAGTGCGACGGCCGGGCAAGGGGTGTCGAGTTCGATTCCTGGGTCGAGCAAAGTTTTATTGGTATTTTTTACAAAATTCTCAGTAGTAGCACTGAGTCTGGAAATGTGCCCGGTATATGGCAATTGGCTCACCCCCTATTACATGGAGCTCATAACATATAATAGTGAAAAGTGGGTGTAACATTGTACAGTGACATTAAGTGCCGTAATATGTACCTCTGCCTACCCCTCCGGGGATAAAAGGCGTGACAATGTTATATGACGTTTGTATAGGATAACTCACAATTACATGGATGTCGTGAAGTGCATCTTACATTGTCTATGTACTCCTTTGCTGCCTTTTGGGTAAAAGTGTTTATATATCAATCTAATATAGGTATTAGAAATGTCAATCAAACTATAACCTCTTTTATGTCTATCCTTTGAGGCTTTGATACTATCGTAAGAACAAAGAACTCCATCCATACATAGATGTAACGCCCAACGATGCATTGTTTGTGATTGCAGTTTTGAATATTCATAGTGATCTATTACGTCAGTCATTTGTATTCTTCTTTAGATAGTTATATAATTGTATATTTAAACCTTCCTGTAGATCTTACATGTCCTGTAGATTCTTATCAAATATTCTAATCATTTTACCCAGGGATGATACACAAATGAAACCTTTATTTATCGGACACGGAAAGTACTTTAAATCTGAATTTTACACTTGTATACTTTCATTTTTATACGTAGTAAGTATGTATTATGAGAGGAACACTATGAGTTTAAATTGTGTTATCTATATTTTAATGGAGTTCTTGAACACACAAATGAGGACCTTATTACTATGAGAATATGGATCTTACCTTTCAGTTCCTTGCCCTCAGGACTGCACTTTCCTCTCTCCATGATGCAGTTGATGTAGGCAGTGAGGAGCCTCTTGTTGGTAAGGATCTCATCCAGGTCGATGTTGTCGTACTTGCTTGGGTACTTTTCATCTTCAGCCAAGACTGCGGCAGCCATCAGGCACAATACTAGCACGAATTTCATATTGTCCTGGAAGATAGAAGCATTTTTTATTAGTTGGCAATATGTCCCATTTTTTGTTTTGTTTTAAGAGGTGTCTAGTGTATTGTTATTGTTACCGTAGAAATATACACATTTACCGTATAAATGAAGATCAAAGTGATACTTTAGATTATATCATTAGAGTATATACAGAAATACGTGATTACATAGAACTTAAACTTGCATCTCTGTAAACGCGGATTTAAGATGTTCGAAATTGGAGCAATAATGTTTGCACATTAATGATACAAGTACGCTATGTGGATCAATTGTATACAAAAAAAAGTTATAGAATCATATTAATATTAAGAAAATGTACGCCTTAACTGTAAACGATATGTTAACAGGGCACTGTTGGAAGAGTCCAATTTGATGTATCCACACATAAAAAAAAATCACTGAACGTCACAGAATATCCTACCTAAACCTATTTCTAGATTTTGAGAGATTGAAATTTTTTTTTATTTTTATAACCACAACTTTTTCTTTTAAAATCCAATCTATTTTTAAAAATGTACTTAGTATATAGGTATATATAACAATATATGTACAATAATTTAATAATATGTTTGTATTTCTATGACCTACCGTTTTGTTGCTGAAGTGTACGGTAATCTCAAGTAGCCAAGTGACTTATGATGTCCACTGTAATAATATGCCTCTATATATACTGCTGGCCGGTGTGCTTAAAACATCTAATTTGCCCCTGGTTGGTTCATTATTTTATCTGTCTTCGATGCATAACTCGTGTACTTATTGTACAGGCGGTTACACTTTGTTTGTTTACATTGGCAGTACATATGAAGCGGATTATAGGTTTCTTTATATGGTTTATATAGATATTATAAACATTTGTTTTGTTTTAAATGTTAAAAATACATAATATATTAACACTCTGTTAGAATATTGTCTGTAAAAAGTGTTTTTAAATGGTTTTATTCCAGAACTTCTTTCTTATTGTATGTTTATTTGTTCTTAAATTTGGACACACAACAGAACATACTTATAAAAGTTTTCATATAGTTATTTACTTTGCTTTGTTTTCAAGGAGAAATATTTAGATTATCTACTCATTATAATTACCTTATTATGATAATTTTATGAAAAATTTAATTATGTTAACTAATTTAATTGGTAGTCATTCAGGAACTTTTGCTGAAGTATTTGACGTTTTTTTTGTTTTATAATAGCATAGGAACAATAGAAAAGGAAAATGTAAATGTAAATATTAATTAATATCAGTAATTAATCATGGCAGTATTATTACTTTCCTACAAAAAGTAATGACAATTGATCCAGATACTTTTCCAATGACACAAAGTTCTTTTAACCTTTCAGATCATTAACAGTAAAAATAATGGACCTGTCATTACTCTTTTAATTATTAATCATAATTATCCAAATTGCTTTTCAAATCCCTGAAAACATTATAAGAATATTTTCTACAACTATAATCTACATTGAAGATAATTTTGAGTGGTCGATTCCCGGGTATCAAAGTATTACTGGGATTTTTAAAATTTATTAGTAGTAGCACGGAGTCTGGAATTGTGCCCCGTACATGGCAATAGGCTCACCCCTTATTTCATTGGACTCATAACATAAATCGTGAAAACTGGGTGTTACATTGTACAGTGGCATAATGTGCACTTCTGGCTACCCCTTCAGGGATAAAAGGCGTAATGTTATGTTATGTGAAGATAATTTGTAGGAGGTTAATTGTTTTCTTAGTCCCAATACATGGATCATCAACAGTCTATAAAAGTCCACTGCTAACTAAAGGCCTCTTCTGACCCGCAAAAGGTTTGAGCATTAATAACCATATTGCTAAATGAGGGTTGGCGATTTCAAACTTATAGTTAGAAATTATACATAAGCCAAGGCTTCCTCACGATGTTCTCATTTACCGTTTGTCAGTGGTGTCTAAATAATCTTAGAAAGTACATATAACTCGGAAAAGTCACATTGGATCTTGCCGTTGGTAGGTTTCGAACCCGCACTCTCATGCATAAGAAGCGGACGTCTTAAACCTCCGAGCCTCCACGACTATATGAATACTAAATATCAATAACGTGGAGTATATTAACCCTTTGAGTGCCGTCATTATAGACAGAATTAAAGAACAATAGGTGTGCGGACACCGGTGTCTTCGTGGTGTTTGACAGTTTAAAATACAATATGCGTAAGAAGAAAAGGCTTATAATACATTTCAAACAGCAATCTTCTAAACTTGGTGATTACAGCAAATCCTTTTTTATATAGAGCTCATACATACATTCCAGTAATTGATTGTCACGAGCTCTGGATGATGAAAGCGATCTAGTTTCAAAACATAACTATTTTTTGTCATTGCTTGCCTGAAATCGTGCGCAGACGTATTGCATCCATACGTTACTGGCTTACATAATTCAGTGCAATTCACACATGATTGAGTTGATCGTAATGTAAGAATAATACTTATATTTATTTAAATCTTTGATTTACAATATGTTCATCAATATTTTATGATGACTAAACAATAAACATTCAGTTTCAAGACTGCCTCGTTGGCCGAGCGGTCGCAAGTGCGACTGCGACGGCAAGGGGTCTCGAGTTCGATTCCCGGGTCGGGTAAAGTATTATCGTGTTTTATAAACAATTTTCAGTAATAGCACGGAGTCTGGAAATGTGCTCGGTATACGGCAATGGACTCACCCCCAATGGGATTCATAACATAAATACTTAGTGAAAAGTGAGTGTTACATTGTTCAGTGGTATTAAGTGTCGTAATGTGCACCTCTGCCTATCCCTTCGGAGATGAAAGGTGTGATGTTATATTATGTCTTAAAACTTTCAAAACTTTCTGAAGACGTTGCTTAGAATCTGTTGCACCTTTAATAATAATAAGTATCTAAGTGGATGTTTGTATAACAAAAAGTAATCTTGAATTTTATTAAGATTTGAGGGCTGTCCGAAGTCAGGAGTCTTTATATTTAACGTTCAATCACTTTTATTAAAAACTTTTTCCTGATAATAATAAAAACAACAAAAAGAAAAGAATTAGCGCAGGCACAGCAGTTTTCGAGATTTGCGCTTAGCAATGTTTTACAATTGATTATGAACATTGTAAGCAGATTTTACAACGATCTTTAGACCTATAAAAATTCGCTTACTTATTTACATATACATTGATTATCTTATTTATGTAATACATTGAAATACCTACTTATATTGTAAAGTACAAACACCATTTACAAAGACATATTGAACTCATACTTATTATTTATTACTAGTACGCACAGATGCAATGCTCACTGAATGTCAATAGAAATATAGTGCGTTAGTATTTTACTCATGTCTTGTATCTATTCGCTGTTTCCCTTATGTGCTAGTTACTAATTAGTAATTGAGACATAATTGAGATAACATATATTTGATTAGCATCAAGTGTTTCTATACATTTATACACCTCTTTGCTAGCAGTATTATTTTAAACTATTTTTCTATAATTCAAGTAAATCGATATAGTAATTTCTGAATAGAAAGTAAAACATGTAGTAACATAACATCACGCCTTTTATCCCCGAAGGGGTAGGCAGAGGTGTATATTATGCCACTGTACAATGTAACACCCACTTTTCACTATTTATGTTATGAGTCCCATGTAATAGGGGGTGAGCCTATTGCCATATACCGGGCACAATTCCAAAATCCGTGCTACTACTGAGAATTTTTTAAAAACCCAGTAATACTTTGCCCGATCCGGGAATCGAACCCGAGATCCCTTGCCCGGCAGTCGCAGTTGCGACCACTCGGCTAATGAGGCAGAGGCAAAACATTCAGTAATATTTTATATATAGTTTATTGTATTTTTATATATTATTTATGTGTTTTTTATATTGCTAGTTAATTATATCTATTGGGTAGGTATTTTTATTTAACATTTTTTTATTGTACACCTATCCCATATCTGGTTTCTTATAAATATTCCTATCCAAAGGTTGTCTGGAAGAAATCACCATTGTGTAATAAGATAGTACATTGCACGCATATTTACTTGAATTGTTTGTTTCTAAGCTACTTAAATGTGCACAATAAAGCATATATAAATGAATAAATAATATAAAAATACTTTTAACATTATGTCCATTATTTCTAGAATAGCTTCTGACTGTAACTTCGTACGCGCAATCCCGTTTTCTCCCATTCCCGTAGGATTTTCAGGATTTTTTTCTATCATAAAAACCTTCTCCTGACAATAACAGACACAACAAAAAAAAAAATCAGCCAAATCGGTCCAGCCATTCTCAAGTTATGGCGTGACAAAGGGAAATGGGTTTCATTTTTATATATACAGATTTATTTGATAATCATCTACTGAAAATTAAAATAGGCTATAGCAGACGGAAAACGTGGACTTCATATTTGCGAAATCCGTTAAACGTGTCAACGCCCTTATGATTTATGTATAGTAGTTACTATCGCCTTAGTACGTAAATAGCTCGTGTTAATTTGGTACACGCTGTATATGAAAATTATGTTAAGGGGAAACGCTCGCAGGGACTTCCGTTTTCTTGACCGTTATATAGCCTTGATACTGTGTTCATTGTTTATATGTTATTTACATTACAACCTGTTCATAAAATCCTAAGCAAATAGATACTAATTAATAAAGTACAATTAAATAAAGGCTGTTATTTTATTAAATCATTGTCACAGACAAAAAATATATTTTCAAAAAGAGCCAAGCTAATTTGGTTCTTATTTTCAGTGGCATAAGTCTTAATTCTCTTTGTCAAACAGATGTGTCATTAAAATTTCTTCTTTTTTGACCCATGAACAAGATTTGACATTGTATTGTTTGTTAATTTACGAAAAAAACCTTAATGATGTATACAAAAATTGAGTTATTTCGACTTCTTAGTTTGTTAGGTTTCATATACTTGTGAGTCAACTAATAAGACCTAATAATAATAATTATAGTGTGTGTTTGTTTACCGGAAACATATTATATGTTTGCGTAATATGCTAAAGTATATTAAACAACTGAAACGTTAATACTACTTTTGTTTCGTGTCCTTATACAGGATTCACAGTAAATACATAGTACCATAAGTCCTATAGTTACGGCAGGGGTGCAAGCTCCCGAGCGTACGGCGCGTAGCGTTCCGCGCGCGCCTCAAAGAGCCATCAGACCACCACAGATGGGGCCCAATAGGGCCGATGCCGATTCGGAGTCGCGGAGAACCTAACGGGTAACCGGGGCTCCGGCTCGACGTGCAGGAGAAGGAACGGGGTGGTTTTTAGTCAGTAAGAGTCTGACACTCCTTTCCACCTCAACCAGGCGGGAGCAGACATTCGATGATTTTCCCCCCTTAAAAAAAAGGGGGTGCAAGCTTCGATCATATAGACTATACCATGTTGATGACTTGACAATTTTCGACATTCGTAAATTGTGGCAGAAGCACAGAGTCTAGTATTGTACTCGCTATAGGCCGACCCCTTGTAACATGGAACTTGTAAGACGACTGGTACAAAATAGATGTGGTAGATGGACATAATCAAAGTCACATTTATTTTTCTTGTTATGTTATATATTCCGTGCAATAGGGAAGGGGTGAGTTTATAGTTAGGCCCACGTTGACCCATTACAAACGTGCGAACTGTCATTTTATCGGGTCTCTCGCTCATACATATGCGAGTTGTGTGGCATTGTCAAATTCCGTAGACGTGACAGTTTGAAATGGCCCAACTATTATTATATCTAAGTCCAATATAATAGGGTGGAAGGCTTTATTAATATTAATAGATACAATATTCTCCTTAACTAAGTTCCACTCGGGTTATTATAAGCCAGGTCGAGTAGAAGTGACAAATAAATACAGCAGACGCAACAAGCATAGAGTGACCTTCGTACGCTAGGTTTAGCAAGCTCCTCTGTTTATTGTTATTAGATACACTATTTATTTATTTATTTTATTGATAATGTAACAGACATTTAGATATTCATTGGAGTGTCCTTTGGAACAGTAATTGCAGTCTTGTTATGTTTATTTTTTCCAAGGAATAAGAGAAAACGGTATCTAGTAAAGAGACAGTCAAAACTGAACTGTAAAATTGCCATAAAAACTATCAATTTAAATCTATCTAGCTAATACCTTCAAACGACCAATTCTTATTATATCAACACTCTAAGGTACGACGGGGTTGACGTATCCATATAGACAAAAACACCCAAAAAAAAAAATTGAAGGAGTTAAAAAAAATTGACAATCTTGGAAACGGCTCCAACGATTTTCTTTAGTTTCGGAAGCGATGAATAGATTAAGCTAGGTGTCGTTTACTAAAAATAAAACCGCTCAGTAAGGCTCGGTCATCCAAGTACTTGTGATTATTTGAGTTGTTGGCCATTTATTTATGGTCGTTGGTTCAATATAACAGATCTTTCGTAAAACATTAGTACCTACGTATTTACATTGAACTTGTAGACAACTCTTATGTTAAAAACCTCCTTTGTAGCACGATAAGAAAAATGGAGTGTCGTGGTGGCCCGGAGGTTGAAGACACCTGCTTCTCATGCACGAGGGTGCAGGTTCGAAACTTACCAACGGCAAGTACCAATGTGACTTTTTCCGAGTTAAATGTACTTTCTAAGATTATTTAGACACCACTGACCAACGGTGAAGGAAAACATCGTGAGGAAACCTGGGCTTATAATTTCTAATTATAAGTTTGAAATCGCCAACCCGCATTGAGCAAGCGTGGTGATTATTGCTCTAACCTTCTCCATGTGAGAAGAGGCTTTGCTCAGCAGTGGGCATTTATAAGCTGTTGATGATGATGATGATGATGATGAAGAAAAATGGTGGTAACGTTGTGAAATCGCGTTCGCGCTAAAATTCAAAATTCGAAGCCCCGCCCACGCCTCCCTCGTGCGGGCTACGGGCTACTCGTCGCCGCCGAAACATTGAGTGAGTGAGCGTTTAAAAACGTTTCGCGTTCCCACCAATTTTCTCAGTTCTTGAATTCGTTGTGGAAACATCCAGCCCTAATCTCTTACAGATGCATAACCCAATTAGTTTTTAAAATGCTAAAGAAAAAAACAATAATAGTAATAAACTTGTAGAAGTTTATTTATTTAATAACTTTCGTGAGACATACTTTATTCATTTTTTTTTTTCGGCTTACCCACGTAAATTATGTGACAAGGAACTCGCGAACGCTGCTCATGAATATGAGCCTCTAGCATGGCTTGAAACTAGTCGAGATTGTCATCAAACAATTACGTGAGTAAACCGAATAACATAATAATTATGGTCATCCCACATTTAAAAAGCACGGCTCCAACCTAGCCATTAAGTTGTCATTTAAATATGAACTTTAAATCGTATGTCGTATATTAAATTTCGTAAAGTCAATACAAAAAGATGACGGCGGGTGGTCAGTGCGCGGTCCACTCGAGGTGTAGTCGAGGCGCTCACGTGCTTACGGCGCGCCGCCCGCGCGCCGACAGCGCGGCGTCGGCTTTTTGTATCAGCGAAACAAAGTCGCATCGTAGATAGTTACCTATTGTTAAAAGCTTTCAAGCGAGCGAGCAAACATAGAAGCGCGTGGTCACCGCGCCGACGCCGCGTCGGCCACGCGCTATGCACGAACCGCCCGCTTGATGGAAGCGTGCGGTCACGGCGCCGACGCCGTGCCGGAGCCGTGCTTATTAAATATGGAATAACCTATAGTTTGCAGGTATTTGTTTTGATAGTAATTTGGTAACTATGATGAGATCTAATTCTCCTTATTTTCATAAGAAAGTGTTGATTGTAATGAACGCAATATAACATGTCTTTTATCTATAAAGCAGTGTATTTCCTGAAGAAAATTGCTAGTGGGCAGGCATGCTTCATCGTAGACCACACAATTGCTGACCACCAGGCGAGAGAGCAGGCAAGCGGCGGCTCATTATGTTTAAAAAAATACTAAAAGAACTTTAAAAAAACGCGTGTACCCTTAGACCTTAAACTCTAGAACTTGATAATAGAAATAACAGTCACGTGATAAATATATTAAAACATAAATAAAAAACCAGTAGACACGGATATAAGAGATCTTTTAATGAGTGTGCCTTCAAAAAGTTTTTAACTTAAATTATGTGATAACATTATTCTATGTGCACCAAACCGTGACGTAGAATTTTAGTTAAAAATTTAACTTATTTTTGTTTAATTGTTAACGTCATAGGTTTTATTATTTTCATTTCAATACTCAAGGCCATATGTGAGTATAGATATAGTGTGTGAAGCTAGAAACTTAGTTCTGGTACATTCAAAAGAATGGTGTAAAAGTTTAAGTTTAATTAAATGACGGTTCAAGGTCGCAGCTAAAAATTATCTTCGTTAGCGATATGATAATTTTCTTTATTAAGTACCCACTATGAGTTATTAAAAACGTAATTAATTCATCTTCTAAAAATACGGAGGTAGATATTTATTGTCGTTGGATATTTAGAAATAAATGAACTATGTATGTACATATTATATTAATTACTGTAACTAAGTGAACCCTACTTACAAATTTATAGTACCCCTTTTTTGACGAGGGAAAATCATCCAATGACTTCTCTCGCCTTGGGTTAGGCGAGAGGGAGTGTCAGAGTCTTACTGACTAAAAACTCTTACAATAAACAAGACGGTCGACAATAAAAATTCAAGTGCTGCTGTTAATAGCTGAGTTGAAGGATGCTGAAAAAAATGTTAACGGATCATATCTTTCACTAAAAAACAAAACAAGACAATAATAATAATTATTAAGCAATAACATGCAATTAAAGTCTAAAATATACCTACACGGGAACTAAGTAATTTAGTTTTTACACATATCTTGATTTTTCATTATTTTTTTGCAACGGCGAACGGAAACTTCCCATGTAAATAATGAAATGCATACAAAATCTAACGCAGTTTTCAATCGCAGTTTACATTAATAATAATTTATTTATTTGCGAAAAACACGGTATACAAAGTTGTTAAAATAAATGTAAAGTCCAGCATGTTTTGCTTACAATTAAAGCATGCAAACTTATAAGTGTCTAGTCAAACATTATAAAATCTTAAAAATAGGAAAAACTAAGATCTATGTTCCAAAAATTGCAATCAATCAACAAATTATACAATTCAATCTTAAACAGTCTACAATTCGCAGTTTTCAAGATATTTGGTAGTTTATTGAATACACAAATACACATAGCTGGACAGCTCTTATTGTATTTCACTATCCTAGGAATCTCTTTACATTGTTTTGGTTTATTAGAACGTGCTCCTACGCTGTTCAATGTGTAGTTCCATACTCGTGTGTTACACCCGCCCGAAACGTTTAGAGGTGATGCCAAATTGTATTTTCTATTTTGACGCGTGGTGACACGTCATTAGTCGTCCTATTATGAATATCCATTGCATGGTTTATAAGTTTGAGTTAAAAACCCAGACAAGAGGCGGAGAGTGACTTTAATTCATACTTTATAGTCATGTGTATTGTGTGAGCTATGCATAGCCAGTATAAACTGACCGTCAAATATGTAGAAAGATTTACCAAATTGAGATCACGGTGAACTGGTTTTGTATAGCTATGAGTAGGTACTCGTCAGGTAATAAATGGGAATTTCGTTTGGATTTACCGTGCGTGACATAATTACACGAATCACTTGTCTTACTTACAGTCGCCAGCAGGTCAACCTACACGAATCTGTCAATGTTCTTCATTGCATTTCCGTCTTTATATTGAATCAATAAAGCTGAAGATCCATGGAAAATGATTGTTAGATTAGTACTTGGGAGTTCCTTAAGGCTTTGACCTGGATCAAACTATTATTAATTTTGACATATAGTAGTTATGTATCATTCATATGGCCTTATGTACATATTCATATACTTATGCTGGTGTTTTCCATTCCGTTCTTATTTGTTGACCAGTGGATTTCGTTCGGTGATCATGTTATTTCCGGGGTTTTTCGGAGTGATGAGGTATATTTAAACTGTCAAACACCAAGCGGTCACCGGTGACCGCGACCTATTGTTCTTTAATTGTGTCTATAAAACCGGTACTCGACGAGTTAAATGTGGATTAGATGCTGCATAAAGCATTGTACGAGACGTTATGTATGATACATTTACGTGTGTGTATTATTTCCTCTTTTGTTTACTTCTGTAGCGACGGTTCTTCAAGCAAGCACATAAATAAACTTGCTTTGGTTTTGTATTGGGTTTCATTTTTGGTAAGATATAGTTCTTTACCTTATTTTACTAAGAACCCGTCTTAACGGGAACCAATCACAAAACTCCGCAATCGTCCTTGATTAATTGACTTACAAGATAGCTAAGAAAAATAGAAAAATAAGATTGTTATGTATACATTAAAATCCTTTGACAAGATCTATATAGGGAATCCCAGCGGACGTCAACGGAGTCATGATCACGCAACATAAAATATTGTTTATGTTCGCATAATTACAAGTTCACGGTTCGTTTCAGCGTCATTTCAATAAAAACTAACAATTAAAATTGTTCTTAACTTCAGTGTGATCTAATTTAATTAGGAACTGCACGTTATCTTAGGATTTGTAAATTCAAGTAGTATAAATGGTACCACGTTCTATTCCTGGGGCCGAAGTATCATCCGTTCCGTCTCATGTAATAGAGGATGAGGCTACTGTCATATACTATTGGGCATAATTAAAAACTCCGTGGGCGAAAATCTTTCTTTGCTCGTCCCGTGGATTAAGCCCAACCTCCTTACTCGGCGGTCGCTCTTGACACTCAATGAACGAAACAGTAGATATGACTAAACAAATCACGTAAAACACACCACGTGCAACTTTACCTAAGGAAAATTACGGCAAATTAAATAAAAATTGTTAATTAGCCTTTGGTTTTTTGGTGCTACTATATCCTCCTTTCTGGCCTACTTACTTTTTGTTGGTTATGCATAATATCTCAACTAGAACTAATAATGATGATATTAATTACAAGAACAAGAAAACAACATTAATTTGTTTAATGAGGAACACAGTTTATTGTTTTATTTTATTGTTTAAGGCCTTAACATCCTGGATCATGATAATATAAGCACAACACACATTCAAAGTTCATTCATTCTCCGTTGTTCCTCTCTGAGCGGTACACCTATGAACGGACGAGAAAAGACATTGATGTGTTTCCTTGCTTTACTTAGACAGCGCTTGTGTCGTTTTTTATTGAGTAACCCGGTAAATGAGCAGACCAATCACCTCATGGTAAGCAATCAGCGCTGCTCATAAATAAAATAAATAAATGAATGGGCACCTCAAACACCAGAAGCGTTACAAGTGCGTTACCGGCCCTTTGGGAATTAAGAATTTGAGGATTGTTGTGATTCGGGGATTTGGGAGATTGGGAGGGAGGTAATTAGAACTCCGTAAAGTATTTTTCTTTCTATCGTAGTATTAGGAACTCATAGTATTTTAGTATAGATCTAGAGATATTTTGATAAATAAACTTAGTAACTATTTTTTTATGGGATTAGCCGGTAACCTAGCAGACGGATCACCTGATAGTAAGCAATCGGCGTCGCCCATAAACACCTGGAACACCAGAGCCCTTACAAGTGCGTTACCGACCTGTTGGGATTAGGAATTTGAGGATTGTTGGAGATTCAGGGATTGGGGAAAGGGAGGGGGGGGGGGGGGGGTTAATTCATTTCTTTTATTCATATCAATTTAAATATTCATAAAAATTCACAAATTAAATTTTCATTAATTAGAGAATTTTTAATGCAACGCTTTGAGTAACAGGTAACATGTCCAGTTCATAACACAACTCCAAAAATCTAGAGACATTCACAAGAATAATACATTAATACCAACTTCTAACTAATATAGCAATAGCATTGAATTAGATGAACGTAATCATTACTTCGAACTCTAACGCCATCTAGACGATTAACCCATCAACTAACTAACAACCTTAGCTTGCTCGATCAATTTCGTTTGATTTAACAACCGTGTATTTTTCCATGGTTCAAAGATGACGCTGAATAGAGAAGGCAATGTTTAGAAACCTAACGTAATTAGTATTGACATGAAGTTCTAGCTATGTTACGTTGTAACAATATGTACTGTAATTCTCTCATTAGGTAATTAATACACAAACCTGAGCGGAATAAAATAATTGTTTGTTTATCGCTTACAAAACATGGCGTACGTAGGTACGGATTGCAGTATTTCTATGTTTTATGGACATCTGTTGTGTTGGAAATAATGTCATGTATGTTATAGTAGCTTACAGCCTCTTTTAACTATAGAATGGAATAAAATTAGGTCAACTTATATCATCAAAATAGACACATTAAAATATACATATACTTTACCTATATAACGTTCCGTATGTATGTATTGAGTTTTTTTTAATTGGGAAAATCATCGAATGACTGCTCCCGCCTGGGTGAGGCGGAAAGGAGTGTCAGACTCTTACTGACTAAAAACCACCTCGTTCCTTCTCCTGCACGTCGAGCTGGATCCCCGGTTACC